TTACTACACTGACTGCAAAGGAAATGTCTGGTCGAGTAACTGTGAGATAGTTCAGTTTCCCAACCAATCTTCTATACCTTTCTGGATCAGAAAATAGCTCCCCCTGATTTGGTAAAAGCTTGACATTTGGATCCATAGGAGTATCAACGGGCTTAGCATTTAACAATGTTGTTTCCTCAAGAATATCCATAGCATATTTTCTCTGTGATAGTACAATGCCATCTTTGGATTGGGCCACTTCTATCCCTAAGAAATATCGGAGTCTTCCAAGGTCCTTTGTTTGAAAATGATGGCACAAATGTTGTTTTATCTGAGTTATGCCATGAGTATCATTACCTGTAATGACGATATCATCAACATATACTACCAAATAAATAGAACCTGAATCAGAGTGTCTGTAAAAGACTGAGTGATCAACCTCACTTCGAGTCATGCCAAACTGCTGTACAACAGTGCTAAACCTTCCAAACCAAGCCCGGGGAGACTGCTTTAGACCATACAAGGATCTTCGAAGACGACAAACTAGGTTAGACTCCCCCTGAGCAACAAACCCAGGAGGTTGCTCCATATAAACCTCTTCCCGCATATCACCATGGAGGAAAGCATTCTTTATGTCCAGCTGATACATAGGCCAGTGATGAATAGCTGCCATAGTAATAAAGAGGCGAACATAAGTCATTTTCGCCACGGGAGAAAATGTGTCACCATAGTCAAGGCCAAATATCTGAGTATAACCTTTAGCCACCAAGCGGGCCTTAAGACGGTCAACCTGACCATCCGGACCAACTTTAACCGTGTATATCCATCGACAGCCAACAACAGACTTCCCAGAGGGAAGGGGAACCAGATCCCAGGTACCACTACTGTGAAGGGAACTCATCTCATCAATCATGGCCTGTCGCCAACCAGAATGTGATAACGCCTCACCTGTAGTCTTAGGAACAGATACAGAAGAAAGAGAAGAGAGGCAAGCAAAATGGGATGGTGAAAGACGATGATAACTCAAATTTATTAAATACCTGGGAGGGGGACGAGAATCACGAGTACCTTTCCGGAGTGCAATGGGCACATCAATGTCAGACGGAAGGATCGGAGCTGCCGGAGGAGATGATGACGGAAGTGAGTCCACAGGAGCCTCAGTAACAATAGGGGCAGACTCGGGGGGGGCAGGGTCCTGGGGAACAGGGGGACGTTGCCGACGATGATAGACCTGGAGAGGGGGAACAGGGGCGGGAACAGGGACGGGAACATCTAAAGAAGGAGATGGTGAAGGTATATAGTGAACCGAAACAGGTGGTAAAGGTAGCTGAGTAGCAACAGAATCACTGGGATGGGAGGAGGAGTCAAAGAATGGATTAGACTCAAAGAATGTAACATCCGCCGAGACAAAGTAACGACGAAGACTAGGAGAATAACAACGATAACCCTTTTGTGAGCGAGGGTAACCCAGGAAAATACATTTATGTGACTTAGCAGATAACTTGTCAAGACCAGGACTGAGATTGTGGACAAAACAAGTAGAACTAAAGATGTGAGGAGTGAGTGGGTACAAAGGTTGATGGGGAAACAACACAGAATGTGGTACCTGATTATGAAGTACGGAGGAAGGCATCCGATTAATGAGGTAACAAGCTGTGAGGACAGCATCGCCCCAATACTGGAATGGGATATGACCATGTAACAAAAGTGTCCGAGTAGTCTCAATTAGGTGACGGTTCTTGCGTTCAGCAACCTCATTCTGTTGAGGGGTGTGTGAACATGATGTCTGGTGAAGGATGTCGTGAGATGCAAAGAAGGTTTGAAACTGATGAGACAAATATTCACGAGCATTGTCACTTCGAAAAATGCGAATCGAAACACCAAATTGAGTAAGGATTTCATTAAAGAACTTGTTAAAAATAGAAAACAATTCAGACCGATTTTTCATTAAAAATAACCAAGTACATCGAGAATAATCATCAATGAAAGTTACAAAATATCTGTACCCCATAGTGGAAACGGTACGACTAGGACCCCAAATATCTGAATGAACTAAAGCAAAAGGAGACGAAGACCGACGACTGACACGATCGGGAAACGAACTACGAGTGTGCTTCCCTAACTGACACGACTCACAAGACAAACTAGATAAATTTGAGAAACGTGGGACCATCTTCTGGAGCTTAGCAAGATTGGGATGACCCAACTGAGCGTGGATAGTAAGCGGAGAATCCACAACAGAGCACACTGGAACAGAAGTTGAAAGCTGATAAAGGCCATTGGACTCAGATCCGACGCCAAGTGTCCTCCTCGAGCTCCGATCCTGCAAAATGACAGACTCTTTAGTGAAAGAAATAGTACAGTCAAGGGATTGAGTCAAGCGACTAATGGAAATAAGGTTGAAAGGAGAATGAGGAACATAAAGCACATTCTCAATGAGAATAGAAGGAAAAAGGAGAACAGTGCCAATCCCTTGGGACTGAACCAGTGACCCATTAGCCATAGTGATACTGGGCAAGGGACCAGATGTACAGAGAGAGGTAAATAAAGACTTATTACCAGAAATATGGTCAGATGCACCAGAATCGAGAATCCATGGACCAAGAGAGGGCGAGTGCGAAACACCAGCAAAGGAATTACCCGTGTGTGCACTAGAGGCAGTGGTACCAGGAGGTGGCTGTGATCCAGCAATCAAGGCAGAGTCCGAGGCAGGAACAGTTGTCTGAGCAAAATGAGCGGAGCGAGGAGGGCGACCATGAAGATCCCAACAACGATCAATAGTATGGCCTGACTTTTTGCAATGAGTGAAGAGAAAGCGTCTCGTAGAGGGTTTGCGTCCACGTGCAAAACCCTTGGAGACAAGGGCAGATGGGTCAATTGAAGAGGGAGCAGATACTGCAGGCTCCGTAGAAGTCTTAGGTGGAATGCGAAGCAACGTAGACCAAACAGAGTCAAGCGATGGAACAGTAGTAGAGCCCAAGATCTGATCTCGGTTGACAGAATATGTCGGGGGCAAACCATAAAGAGCCATGAGCATGAAGAACGTGCTGCGTTGCTCAAGTTCTTTAGCAGGATCTGCAGCAGGCGGCAACAGTTCATTGAAATCATGAAGGAGTCCCTGAACTTTTCCCAAGTAAGCAGACATAGAGACATCAAGTTGTTGAGCAGCAATAGTAGTGATCAAATTTTGACAAACCCCATAGAGTCGCTGAGTGTCATTGGTATAAAGTGACTTGGCCCGACGCCAAACAGACTCACAAGTGACGTGAGCACGAAAAATCTGCTTCAAGGACGAGTGGATGGTAGACTTGATGATGCTACATAACTGAGCATCAACCTTTTTCCAATGAGGGCGTACATCTACCGAGATGGACTCAGCCTTAGTAATGAGATGGTCAGTGTAGTCCTGTCCATCAAGCCAAAGTCGGAGATCAGAAGCCCTTCGGGTGTCAGAAAAATGAGTTGTGTTATTGATTTGAGCTCTTCCCCACCTGAGACTTGTTGAATTGGAAATAAGAGAATATATCTTCAAAATGATTTATATTAAATTTTACTAAGACGACTTTTATAATTAAATTCTCAAAGATAAGATTAATTAAATCACTTAGAATGGATTTATTGGGATTGCAGTGACATTCTATCGAGATATTTTATTCTCTTTCATCTATCATATTTTATTGAGATATTTTAGTCTCTTTCGTCTATCTTCCAACTTAATTGAGATAAACATTATTGAAAGAACATCCATTTTCTCTAAGTAGGTCTTTCACTAGAGACATTGAGCATCTTTGTATCCCCAGAAACAACAACACCAATATTTCATTATATTAGTCAATAATTACTTTATTTCATAACTATATTAAGAATTGTATATATTTTGTAAAGAAAATAATATTATTTTATAATTACTTGACTAATTGTGTATGGGTCCGTTGAATGTGGGCAAAAATTCCGTATTACTGTTAATTTGCAAAAGTATCTCCACACTGAAACACATCTGTAAAGATTGATGAAAGTAGAGCAGTCAAACATGTAGGGTTGACTGACGTGACCAGTCCCGCCACATACAACGACGAGATCAGCAGCCACATAGGATCCAACTCACGTGTCTGCATGAATCCCGCCACCTGCTCTGACTCATTTGAGTCCCACCATATCAATTGGCGAGACTAAGCCACGTGTACAAATCCTCCGCCAGGTAATGTGATGCGTTCCAGCCACGTGTACCTACTCCCGCCACATTGGGTGACGGATTACGTTGTCCTTCTACATTCCCCACGCGATACTCGTGGGGTAGCATCCCGTACACTACAAAATTAATCTCGCCACTGACACTTACGGAAATATCTGCCTGGTTATATATAGGGTCTTCCGGTGTTACTTAGTATGGGACATTTTGAAAGTTCGGGATGTTTGCTATTTTTGTATATGATTTTGACTGACGGGTTCTTTACTTCTACTATTTTTGTTTTATATCAGTTGCTTTGCTTGTAATGTTAAAATTTTGTTGTATCACCTTGCTGTAATGTCGTAATTTTTTTTGTATGAGTTGCTGTAATGCGTATTTAATGTTTTTTATTTACTTTTTTTTAATCTCTACTTTCATCTGATCTCCTTTTGTGTTATTTGCATAAATACACAGTACAATGGAACAATATCGGTCTTTTGTATATTATAATGGTTCTAAAATTAACAGTGTAGGCGGGTTGAGATTCGAAGGGGAAAAAAGAGCAATGTATATTGTCCGAGGCTTGTCCATTTAAGATCTACTTCAGAAGATTCGTCAGAAGTTGAAGTTGCAACAAAATCAGGTAATTTCTTCAGTCACGGGTCGAGTCCCATGTGGAAATCGGAAATATGCAGGTTTTGAAATAACTGATGATGAGGACATTGACATTTTTCTTGGAACATTTGTCCAAAACTCTACTACGTCTCAATTTGTTGAGTTATATGTCGATATTGAGACATCAGACGACATGTTAATACCGACACGTGGGTTGGACCATAACAGTCAGACACAAATGTCGTCATCATCGGTACCCCAGCCCACACAATCAACTATTGCAAGTGGAGATGAAAGCGACTATATGGTAGATGTTGAACCTGACAATGAAGAGGAGGAGGAAGATGAAGACACTCTACTGGAAAATGACCATGATCAGAATGATAGTGATGGAGGTGATGATGAACATCATGATAATCCCATAACACAGGAGACTGTTATTCCTACGTCCAAAAATGTGGTTATTCCACCATCATCAGGTTAGCCATTGAATGTCTTGTATCGTCTTGTATGATTAATTTTTTATATAATCGCTTTAATATTTGCCAAATCTATTTTTTTATTTTTTTTGTAGATATGACACCATTTTGGGATGACATCCCACACTATGAGGCTGTTAATTTTGATTATCCGAACAAAGACATACTGGATGTTGAAGGCTTAGGTCGTGGTCCGTGGACAAGAGGAGACGAAATGTATGTGAAACAAGAGTTCCGGTCGAAGAGCGATGTTCAAGCTGCTATAAAACATTACTGCATGAATGAGCATCAAGAAGTTGTAGTGGTTGAAAGTACTACCACGAAGTTGTCTATGAAATGCCATAAGCATGAAGAAGGCTGCAATTGGCGAGTAAGGGCAATTAAACCGAAGAATAGCAACGGCTGGGTAGTCATTAAATGGGTTGGAAAACATTCTTGTGTCAGCACAATCCTTTCTCAAGATCACAAACAACTTGATTCATATTTTATATCTGAGGCCATTCTAGGTACTATACATTGTTGAAGTTTTCGTACTGCGACAATTTATGAGTTTATCATGTGAAGGCGGATATTAATACTAATTACAAATATGCTCTATATCTGTATGCAGACATGGTGAAGGCTTCGCCGTCGGTGGCCGTTATCTTGATACAAGAACGGGTTACTGCCCTTTTTGGATATAATGTTTCTTACAGGAAGGCGTGGATGGGAAAGCAGAAAGAAATTGCTAAGATTTACGGAGATTGGGACGAGTCATACGCATTCTTGCCAAGATGGTTCGCACACATGTTGAATTTTTCTCCAGGGTCAGTTTACCATATTCAACATGGACCGTGTGTCATGAATGGACAAGTTATTACTGGGTCCAGGGTTTTTCAACGTGTTTTCTGGACTTTCGGTCAATGTCGGGAGGCGTTTAAATGGTGTAAACCAGTCATACAGGTCGATGGTACGCATCTGTACGGTAAATATAAAGGGACATTATTGATCGCCACAGTGCAAGATGGAAACAATGAGGTCTTGCCAATCGCATTTGCGGCGGTTGAAAGTGAAACAAAAGATGCATGGGAATATTTTTTGGCATCCATCCGAATGCATGTAACCAATAAGACTGGTATAAGCCTTATTTCGGATCGACACAAAAGCATTTTATCAGCAGTGGCCAATCCAGACATTGGATGGCAACCTCCTAATGCATACCATGTGTTTTTCCTTCGTCATGTAGGGAGCAATTTTAATACACGATTCAAGGATCAATACATGAAGGGTTTTCTAAAGAAGCTAGGTTATATATGCAAACTAGTTACATGAAATGTTGTATATCCTTTGTCGATTGGGTCTGTTTGTATATTATAGTGTGTTTTTCTTGCAGGATATATTGCAAATAAAGACTACTTTGATGTTGCGTATGCCGAGTTCTACAGCATTAGTCCAGAAGTCGCTGCATGGATTGAGGTTGTTCCAAAAGAGAAATGTACTCGAAGTTACTACAAGTGTGGACGAAGATATGGTCACATGACAACTAACTTGTCTGAATCAGTGAACAGGGTTTTCAAGGGAGCGAGGAACATGCCAATAACTTCTTTGGTAAAATGCACATATAGTCGACTTGCTCGTTACTTTTTTAAAAGAGGGTGTAAAGCATAGAAAGATGTTGAGATTGGAAAGCGTTTCTCAAAAACCATTTCAGAAGCGATGACAAAGAACAGTGAGAGGGCTACATCGATGCGTGTTCGGGAGTATAACGTGGCGCGCACCTCATTTGAAGTCGATGACCAAGGAAATACATTTTGGGTTAACCTCAATGATGGGAAATGCCAATGTGGTAAGTTTCAAGCATTCAAAATTTCGTGTAGCCATGTTATTGCATCATGTAAGAAGGTAGCCCTTGATGTTGAGCAATATGTGGATCCGGTGTTCTCTGTAAACTCCATTATGCGTGTCTACTCTTATCCATTTCTGCCGATTGGTAGTGAAGATAGAATTCCCCCACATCCCAGACCAAAGCTTGTTCCTGATGTCTCAATGATGCGTGGACAGGGGCGTCCTAAATCTACACGTATTCGCAATGAAATGGACGAACTTAAGGACCAACCAATTTACTGAATATTAAATATCTTGAGTTGTTCATTGGTATAAAAATTTACTGTTAAAATTTGGAATCTGAATTTTTGTAATTTCTTTGTGTAAGATTAGTGTTTCTAATTTTTGTGAAATATTGATTAAAAATATTAAATCTGAATTTATTTTTATACCTTGTTATACATTGTGTTAATTCAGATTTTTGTTTGGGATTTATTGTTTAGAAACCTAATCTTGAATTGTTCTAGAAATTTTATTGTTGAATATTAAATTTGAATTTTCTGTTTTAATTGAAGTATATTGTGATTAAAATTCAGATTTCTTTTGGTTTATTATTAAAAGATTTATCTAGAACTAATTCTGAATTTTATGTGAAATTTTGAGATAAATTTCAAATCTGATTTTTCTGGTTATAATTGTGATATTTGTTTTAAATCAGATTTCTTGGTGTCCATTGATTAGAAAAATAATTGTGTAATATCCAAGCTCCTTTGTGCATTAATTTTAGAGATTTTAATACATATGTCATTGGATTAATTTTCTGCATATGGCATAAATTTGTGGAGCTTAGTTTGATATTACTGTGATATATTTGGTGTGATAGGACACTGTATTTTTGGATTATTTCACTTGTTACAATTCTGAAAAATTATGTATTGGTTGTTAAAGTGGAGTAGTTGTGTGTTGTAAATCTGTCCTAGGTGTGTGGGTGCAACCGTGTGGGTTGGCGACCTTGTGCTTGGCTTGAGAGTGTGTCTCAAGGCCTGGAGCCTCAAGAATCCACTAGGGAGAGTGGAGGTCTTGTGTGAGAGGAGTTAGTGAACTCCGTAGGTTCGACTTTAGAGTATTCTCAGAGCTTGGAGCAGTGTAGGCACTAGGAAGATTTTTGATATCTTGTTTGATTGCATGTGTGACGCGTGTTTGTAAAACAGGTACACTTGTGATAAATAAAATATCTGCAGCTACTTCAGTCTGGACGTAGCACCCTACTTAGGCTTAGTGGGTGTGAACCAGGATATATCGTGTGTCTCTTGTCTCTCATTTAATTTCTGAATATTTTGTTTAGAGACTGACAGTTACACTGATACTATTATAATTGCTGTAGCACTTAAACTGATTCTATATTTGGAAATTAATATTTTTCTGTGTTGTTTAAGAAAATTACATTGCTGCGTTTATACTCTATAAATTGCTAAGGTACGCATTCTGTTACTACATTGTTCTTAGCATTGTGAAAAATTATTCTGGGCATATAGGGACTGAAGAAAAATTGTAAAATTGTTTACTGAATTTAAAAAGATTTTGAAAAAGTTTAGAACACGTATTCACCCCCCTCTAGGTGTTCCGTAAGCGTCCTGTGTAAGAAGCCATTTGCCCAACAATATATTAGAAGCTGATTCTTCTATTTTTAAAAGCAAAGTTTTATTAAATTATTATTTAAAAGTATAAATAATTGCACCTCAATGGTTAATACATTAATATTCATTATTCAACATAAGAATATTTTTAATAATATTATAAATAAAAGTTTCAGTGATTGATATTTTTATTAGGAATGAGTATAAATAGACATTATACTGATTATCATGCTGTGTCGGGTCTGTATCAGACACACAGACAACATATTAATATTTTTGTTAATAAAGAGAGAGTATTTTTGATACACTCGATGTAACTACGACTTTTATTAAAAAATTCATATTTGAATTAATTGTTTTTTTCGTACACATATCACAAAAAATATTCTATTTTAATTGATCTGTCGTACCGAATCAGTGATGCTAGCGGTGTACCGTAAACATTTGGTTAAAGAGTACTTATTAATACTTTACAACTTTGAATTTATAGTACATTTTCATCAAGCAATATAGTTGTTTTTTTCCTTTAACTTCTTTCTCCGTGAGTCATAAACTACCCTCATGGTCCGTTTAATTTGATAAAAATTAAAAGAATAACACAGCACAAAAAATTTCATGATTTGTTTAATTTGTTAAAAATAAAATAAAGTACTGTCTATCCAATGTTTTATAAAAAAATAAAGTATTGAAAAAAAGAACGCCAAGCGACAACATAATAAAATATTTGTAATTTGAATGACACTGAAGTTTATAAAATTCAAATTCAATGCTAAATTTGGAGGTTATGCGACCAAAAACTATTTTGCTTTTGCTTTTTTTTTTTTGTCAAAAAGATTTTCTTTATGAACTTTTTGGTCGAAAAGCTTCAGCTTTTGTTTGCAATCCTAATGCACATATTCAGATTTTGGACCAACTGTTGTAATGAATATCTAACAGAAAACCCAAGGCCCAAGAAGCTAAGCCTGTTTACGTTTGTGCCATCCATACAAATTGGATAGCAAATCACAAGGTATTAAAAATTTCCTTTATATATATATATATATGCACACACTTTAGTTAAGGTGGATATGAATAAAGTTAATCATTTATTGACTCATTACATAATTGTGGCTAAGTGAATTATTAGACATGTAACTTATTTATAGTTAGAAATTATCGATTTGACCAATAATTATTGTTTCAAGTAATAAGGAATTTGTTTCTCTTACTAAATGTCTTGAGTTTAAGCTTTGGGAATAGAGAAAATGGTCTTGAGAGAGTCGTCTCCGACAATATTCGAACAGAACTAGTCGAGTAATCAATGAACCAATGAATATGTCCAAAAAAAAAAAAAAACTATCAATTTGACTACAATTATTATTAAAAATAATTTCAATTATTGTGGGCTTCAATCAATTGTAATTTTTTATTTTAACAAAAAAGGAGCTGAGTCGTGATTAATTTTGGGTTGTATTATATAAGCTCAACTGATTAAGTTATCCCTTTGTTTGGACATGGATATCTATAACACTAATTAGTGTGTAATAGTATATGCCCAACCCATAGACCTATGATGTAAAGGGTACTATGGTTAATATTTATGACTAGGTCTCTACTGCATTCACATTGTATGTGAAATAGTTATTCCACAACTTGTCTCATCGACAGTTGTGAATAGGGAGTGGTGTGAACTATAAAGGAAGTTCTATGGTCTTTCAACATTTGTAGGAATACCGAAACAAGCACGACAATCTTTGAGTTATCAAGAATTATGTATTTGACAAGTAAGCCTAAATGTTATGATATTTTAATTTAATACAATCATATTTTGCGATTTACTATAGCTAAATGTTTATTTATTGGAAAAGTATTTGTTCTTTTAAATAACATAGAATTGTGTCATTTTAGTTAAAACCAATGTTATTAAACTCGGCCCGGTCATTGACCCGGTTTAGATACTCGGTCACTGGTTCAATCACATCACCCAATAAATATATGCAAATCTATAATTTATATTAAAAAAAACTATAAACATACTCAAATATCTGTAAAAATAAATAATACAAATTTCAAATACTTTAATATGACAAATGATAAACCACACATCATTATCCAATAAAGAATCAAACCAACATATAAAACTTGTGATACTGGTACTTCAGGTTCAGTAGACGACATCTCTAACTTAAATCAAAATTTCTTGCATAGTGCATAATAATATTAGTGTTATAGGTACATAACCTATGTAAGTCAATAAGCAATAAATCACTCAAATATTTTAAAAGAAAATAAAACATTTATGAATTTAAAAAAATGATTTCCTTTATGATTTTTTTAATCAATATTTTTTTTGAACCCGGTTGGGTCACTAGTTGAATAGACCGGAGATTTTACCAAAATCGACTGGGTTGCATTGTTTCAATGCTTGGCCGATCCACTGTTTCACCAGAACCGGTTATATGACTGGTTTACCGATTTTTGGGTTGATTGGATTGCGTCGGTCCAGGTTTATCAACACTAGTTAAAATTATTGTATTTTCTGGTGAGATAAATAGTTACACAATGGAATATCATAATGGGGATGAGTAGGAAGTTATTAAGAGTTTTTTTTATATAATTTAAATATTAAGTAAACCTACTACTATTTTACTTAAAATAATATAATTCTACATCATTTAAAATGACAAATATTTTTTCCGTGTTTATTTATTTTGAAATGTCTAAAATGTAAATGAAGAATCAAATGATTAATATTACTTCACTTGGGCAAAAGACTAGTTTGCTATGCTATAATACCTACACAAAGTGTCCTAAAACTGTAAGTTACATAAATGTGCCAGGTTAAATTTTATATTAATGTATCAAATAATAAAATAACCTAAAATTATCACAATAAACAAATATAAAAATTTTGCTAATATTGATAATTTATTATTTCAAAATACTTTTCAAACACAACACCAAAAAAATATTTTCTAGCTGTTATTATCTACAATGTAATAATCACACTAAGAAATAATTCATTAATTGTGTTACGGAATATCAATGTTTTACTATTTTCTTCTTCTTCTTTTCGAAATTGTAGTGTAAGTTTTTTAATGTAGATAAGTACGCATCACTATTTTTATCTTAAGCAACCCACATGAGATAAGGTGCATTAACATGTGACCTCACTGACCTGCCACTGCCAGCCAATACCTAGTAAGGGTGTTCGCGGTCTGGATTAGATCGGTTTTGGAAGCAAAATTCATCTGATCCAATCCCTTCGGTTTGATTATGTAATCATCCATTCGATTTAATTTTTTTTTTCAAATCCGATCTGATCCAATCCAATTTTTTTGGGTTTGGATTGGATCGATTTTCGGTTTTTTGAATATCCTAAAATTAGTTTCATGATTATTGTGCAAATAACATCTTTTATGATGTTATTGTGCAAATGTGGATTCTATAATTCTATAATCATGTTCAGCATAAGGCTCAGTATTTAAAGAAGAAAGTGATGCGTACTTTACTCAATAATCGATGAATCGATATGTAATATGAAAAAAATATCAGTAGAAAATACTTTGGCTAACATTGATTTCAAAGAAAAGAAAAGCTCATTATACCCTAAAAATTGTCGAGTAACAAAATAAACAATAACACGATCAACTATTTCGGCCATGAAGTCTATGGAGAAAAAAAAGTATTGATATTTGAAAAGAAATACAAACAAAAATTACACACAAGAATAGGAATGATTACATCTGGACAACTAATACTAAATCAAAGGCAAAATTGTATCCTACTTCCAAGTTGGACTTGGTTGTAGCATTTTTTTTCTTTGGAGGCAAAGCTGTGGCATCAATACCACACGTGCGCAGCGTGTTCGAATAAGAAGTGAAGCAGACTCGGGTTTCACATCCATGTTCACATATTTCCTCAAGTATCATACAATTTTCATTACTCAAACCATAGCCGTAGACCTTCTTCGTTGTAGCAAAGACCAAAAGATCACCATTCAAGACAGTAAAACCTATGACAATAGGATCTTGCTCCATCAATCCCATTGCTTTCACTCTTACTTTCAAAATCATTCTCCAAGAACTTGATTCATAGTCGCTCAAAGCCAATATGGTAAATACACACTTTCTTAACCTCACCAAACAAATGGATTTAGTTGAACTAGTGACTTTACCCCATTTAAAAATCCCCATGTTACAGATGACATCATCGAAACCCCTTCTTGCTTTTTTAGGCACATGGAGTATTCTTGATGCTCCACTCTCAAGATTATAGGAAATGATATATGGCCAAAAATATTGATTGTTTCTGTTAACGTAAGGAGAACAGTCTGAGATGAAGTGGATGAAACAATTATGAATGACAAGAATGTCAAATCTCAAGTTCCTGGGACCAGTGGTGAAACTTTCTTCCCTTGCTTTCCATACACCTTCCTTATGAAGGTAAACATTGCAATACAAATTTGAAGACCAACTATCTTTTGGGTTCTTAAAAAAAAGAAACAGCGTGCAATCATCTGAGTCGCATTCAAAAATGATTTTGAGATCAGCCTCAACACTCACCTGCAAATCCTCTGGGACAGGAAAAGGGGACAAAGATTGTGTTGCTGGGTTACAAATAAACAACTCAACTTGGTTCAGACAAGTAGACGACAAAGAATCAAGCCATTGCTTGAAGCCACAATTCTTGCAGAGTTAGTCAAGAATTGTAAAACATCATTAGAGACTCCAGATGATAGCTCATCTCCCGATAAAAGGGTGTAACTCTTTTTGGCCATTGTACCTCTGACCAATATCTGATTGAATGAAGAAGCATGTGTCATCCTTTAACAATGCATTATGAGCCTGCTTCGATGCAAATAATGTTTCGTCTGAAAACTTTGAGGAAAACTTGCCAACTGACTTGAACCTGTAAACAGCTTTTGCTGGTAAACAAGAGAATATCTCAAATAACACATCATGGGACATTGTCATTGTGATGAGTTGTTTGAAAGCAAAGAAAATTTTCGAGAGAGAGGGAGGAAGGATGAAAGATAACTATGATGAAAGAAAAGGAGAGAGAACATGTGTGTTTCTTGTATATAGCTTGCGATTCTTGTATACAGTGTGTGTTTCTTGTATATAGCTTGCGATTCTTGTATACAGCGTGTGTTTTCTTGTATACTAACATGCACCTTGCAGAATCCTATTACGAATTAAATTGGAGATTTGCATGAAAACTTCATTATGTATGCAAATCTTTTTCGAATAGATTTCGATTTATCTTTTTAAATATATTATATGATTTATTTTAACAGAATATCTATATCATTTTGTGTAACAGAATTCAAAATCATAGGGTGAAAAAAGGAAGCAAATCAAAAAATAATACGGATTTGTGACCATATCTTGGAAAATATGATGATATTTTAACTATTTAATAACTATTAATTATTATGTTAATATATCAATTTTTTTAAATAAATTGGGTTTATATTTAATAATGTTTCTTTGCTTATTTAAAATTTGAACTTTGATCTAATAGATTTAAACTTATCTTTATAAATACATGATATGATTAATTGTCTCTTGCTATGAAGCCTTTACGACTAGAGTTGTTGAGTTAATTGAAAAGATGGCATCTGAAGATAACGAGGTCACACCAGTTCAACCTAAGCCAAAAACTTGTTGCAAACTCGGCAAGTGCACCGGTCGTACAAGTAATAAAGTGATAAGAAAAGTTGTCGATCCGACGAGGACTGATGACCAAGCAATAATTTTTCTATTTAACTAAAGTTGGATCGATTGTAAAAGGGGTTCTTGAGAATAATGTAATTAAATTAAAAACAGAATTTGTAAACATATTTTTAATTTTTAAGATTTTAGAAAATACATTCGGAATTAATAAAACTTGAAATTGGTTGAGTTTTTAATAAAAAGGCGTAGCTAGGATTTAACTTCCCCAATGATTTCTTAACAAGTTTCCTTATTCTTACGATTACATTCAAGATTAAATTATTAATAGCTCTTTATATGATTGATTAAATCTCAATCCATTGGTAATCCAATCAGTTATTATAATCAAAAGCCTAATCCCTTAGCACTCTTTCATAAAATAAGCATTAACGCAAGAACCTACGGTTATAGAATTTATAAGTCTATCCCTAGATTATACAAATTCCAACAATCAAACAATCAGAATCATACACCAACATCCCTATTGTCATGCACAACTCATATGTTTATCTACGAGTGATCAAGTCATAAATAAAGCTAGTCATACACATATGATTGATTGCATAATTTAAAAACAAGAATGTGAATCATAAGAAACGTAAACATCAATTAAGAACCCATTGGTTCTGTCTCATCCTAACTACTAAAATGAATTTAGTAATGCATAATTATAAAAATAGAATTAAAAGGTACAGTAAAATAAATCGGGTTCATGGTAAAACTTGATTAATGGTGAATATCAATTATAAGACCATTGTTTGAGTCCTATGTAATAACATGTTATCAAACACATTTGTTTTTTTCAGAAATTGTTCCAAGGCACAGAAATAGAAAAGAATTGTTTCTTTTCAGAAATAGTGTCAGGGAATAGAATGGTTGTCATGCACACACCTAGTGGACACAAACTCTTTTCAGGGTATTTGGCTAGGTCCCCTCTCTAGCCTTTTTATATTGGGATTAAGCCTCATGAACCGTCATGCTCCCATCGCATTGAGGCTGCCACTTTCAGAATAGGCGATAGAGAGGAAGATCCTGACATGTAGTCCTTTCTTTCGTCATGCTTTGTGATGGTCCAACAAGTACGCATAATCTCAACTTTGATTTAATTTTTTTTGTTATTTTATAATCATATACATGATCTAGGAATTATAAATCTTTCATTTGGTATCAGAGCCTTGTGTATAAGATTATAGAATCCATGTTGTTGATTGAAATCAAAGAAATTGTTTACAAAAATAAAAAATTATGAAGGGCGAAACTTTATACATTAATTCATAAACTTGTTCAATTGAATTGAGAATCTCAGAGCTTTTTGTTTTACATGTTAAGATTCTTCCATTGATATATATTATGTAGTTTTCGTGATGTATTGAAGGAGAATTAATGTTTATAAATCTTAGGGTACATCACTTATATTGTTCATCTCGCAAGAATATTCTCACCCAAATTAGAGCTATTTACTCATCTCGCAACTAAGAAACACTGGTTTTGGCGAATTGGTATTCGGTTTTGGTGAACTAGGATCCGTCATATGGACTTTCGGCCTTTTCACATTTATTAGTATTTAAATTGGTATACATGTGAAATTACTGTATCAGCTTAAAATTTACACTATTGTCCAACTAGGTTTAATACTAATAGATGCCAACAATACAACTCACTATTATAACAATAGACTAATATAAACAATAGAATTGTTAATTTTAACACATTTAATTAATTAATATTACTCGGATAGAATTTTCCAACAATTACCACTTTAATCTTAAACAGGCACAACTGTAATTCCAAACACTTCCCCACTAGGCTATCCACCTGGATTATCTTCAAGGCTCAACCGCAGAATCATGTTCAGCAGAAGGCTCAGTATTTAAAGAAGAAAGTGATGCGTACTTTACTCAATAATCGATGAATCGATATGTAATATGAAAAAAATATCAGTAGAAAATACTTTGGCTAACATTGATTTCAAAGAAAAGAAAAGCTCATTATACCCTAAAAATTGTCGAGTAACAAAATAAACAATAACACGATCAACTATTTCGGCCATGAAGTCTATGGAGAAAAAAAAGTATTGATATTTGAAAAGAAATACCAACAAAAATTACACACAAGAATAGGAATGATTACATCTGGACAACTAATACTAAATCAAAGGCAAAGTTGTATCCTACTTCCAAGTTGGACTTGGTTGTAGCATTTTTTTTCTTTGGAGGCAAAGTTGTGGCATCAGTACCACACGTGCGCAGCGTGTTCGAATAAGAAGTGAAGCAGACTCTGGTTTCACATCCATGTTCACATATTTCCTCAAGTATCATACAATTTTCATTACTCAAACCATAGCCGTAGACCTTCTTCGTTGTAGCAAAGACCAAAAGATCACCATTCAAGACAGTAAAACCTATGACAATAGGATCTTGCTCCATCAATCCCATTGCTTTCACTCTTACTTTCAAAATCATTCTCCAAGAACTTGATTCATAGTCGCTCAAAGCCAATATGGTAAATACACACTTTCTTAACCTCACCAAACAAATGGATTTAGTTGAACTAGTGACTTTACCCCATTTAAAAATCCCCATGTTACAGATGACATCATCGACACCCTTTCTTGCTTTTTTAGGCACATGGAGCATTCTTGATGCTCCACTCTCAAGATTATAAGACATGATATATGGCCAAAAATATTGATCGTTTCTGTTAACGTAAGGAGAACAATCTGAGATGAAGTGGATGAAACAATTATGAATGACAAGAATGTCAAATCTCAAGTTCCTGGGACCAGTGGTGAAACTTTCTTCCCTTGCTTTCCATACACCTTCCTTATGAAGGTAAACATTGCAATACAAATTTGAAGACCAACCATCTTTTGGGTTCTCAAAAAAAAGAAACAGCGTGCAATCATCTGAGTCGCATTCAAAAATGATTTTGAGATCAGCCTCAACACTCACCTGCAAATCCTCCGGGACAGGAAAAGGGGACAAAGATTGTGTTGCTGGGTTACAAATAAACAACTCAACTTGGTTCAGACAAGTAGACGACAAAGAATCAAGCCATTGCTTGAAGCCACAATTCTTGCAGAGTTAGTCAAGAATTGTAAAACATTATTAGAGACTCCAGATGATAGCTCCTCTCCCGGTAAAGGGTGTAACTCTTTTTGGCCATTGTACCTCTGACCAATATCTGATTGAATGAAGAAGCATGTGTCATCCTTTAACAATGCATTATGAGCCTACTTCGATGCAAATAATGTTTCGTCTGAAAACTTTGAGGAAAACTTGCCAACTGACTTGAACCTGTAAACAACTTTTGCTGGTAAACAAGAGAATATCTCAAATAACACATCATGGGACATTGTCATTGTGATGAGTTGTTTGAAAGCAAAGAAAATTTTCGAGAGGGAGGGAGGAAGGATGAAAGATAACTATGATGAAAGAAAAGGAGAGAGAACATGTGTGTTTCTTGTATATAGCTTGCGATTCTTGTATACAGTGTGTGTTTCTTGTATATAGCTTGCGATTCTTGTATACAGCGTGTGTTTTCTTGTATACTAACATGCACCTTGCAGAATCCTATTACGAATTAAATTGGAGATTTGCATGAAAACTTCATTATGTATGCAAATCTTTTTCGAATAGATTTCGATTTATCTTTTTAAATATATTATATGATTTATTTTAACAGAATATCTATATCATCTTGTGTAACAGAATTCAAAATCATAGGGTGAAAAAAGGAAGCAAATCAAAAAATAATACGGATTTGTGACCATATCTTGGAAAATATGATGATATTTTAACTATTTAAACTATTAATTATTATGTTAATATATCAATTTTTTAAATAAATTGGGTTTATATTTAATAATGTTTCTTTGCTTATTTAAAATTTGAACTTTGATCTAATAGATTTAAACTTATCTTTATAAATACATGATATGATTAATTTTCTCTTGCTATGAAACCTTTACGACTAGAGTTGTTGAGTTAATTGAAAAGATGGCATCTGAAGATAACAAGGTCACACCAGTTCAACCTAAGCCAAAAACTTGTTGCAAACTCGGCAAGTGCACCGGTCGTACAAGTAATAAAGTGATAAGAAAAGTTGTCGATCCGACGAGGACTGATGACCAAGCAATAATTTTTCTATTTAACTAAAGTTGGATCGATTGTAAAAGGGGTTCTTGAGAATAATGTAATTAAATTAAAAACAGAATTTGTAAACTTATTTTTAATTTTTAAGAATTTAGAAAATAAATTCAGAATTAATAAAACTTGAAATTGGTTTTGAGTTTTTAATAAAAAGGCGTAGCTAGGATTTAACTTCCCCAATGATTTCTGAACGAGTTTCCTTATTCTTACGATTACATTCAAGATTAAATTATTAACAGCTCTTTCTATGATTGATTAAATCTCAATCCATTGGTAATCCAATCAGTTATTCTAATCAAAAGCCTAATCCCTTAGCACTCTTTCATAAAATAAGAATTAACGCAAGAACCTACGGTTATAGAATTTATAAGTCTATCCCTAGATTATACAAATTCCAACAATCAAACAATCAGAATCATACACCAACATCCCTATTGTCATGCATAACTCATATGTTTATCTATGAGTGATCAAGTCATAAATAAAGCTAGTCATACACATCTGATTGATTGCATAATTTAAAAACAAGAATGTGAATCATAAGAAACGTAAACATCAATTAAGAACCCATTGGTTCTGTCTCATCCTAACTACTAAAAGGAATTTAGCTATGCATAATTATAAAAACAGAATTAAAAGGTACAGTAAAATAAATAGGGTTCATGGTAAAAATTGATTAATGGTGAATATCAGGGATGCAGATTTGATCCCCTCCTTCTCCTCCGCAACGCTCCAGTATTCCTCTTTGCTCCTGTAATGTCCCACATCGGTTGGAGAGGGGAACGAAGCATGCCTTATAAGGGTGTGGATACCTCTTCTAGTGTGAGTCCTTTTGTGGGGTGTCCCAAGAAACAAAACCTTGAGCTCGACGGTGCTTGTGCGCGGGGCAAAGCGGACAATATCATGCTACAGGGTTTGGGGCTGTTACAGCTCCTTCCTTCGTCTTCATCTCTGACTTCTTTCTTTCTTTCTTTCTTTGTGTTCCAGAATGATCCCAAAGCCTCAGCGAGCAATTTTCTCCTCCTCGCTCACTTGCTCACTGAAGCGAGCAGTGGAGCGAGCTTAATTCTCCTCCTCGCTCACTTGCTCACTGAAGCGAGCAGTGGAGTGAACTTGACCGAATAATTTATTTTTAATTATTTCTTTATTTCCGCTTGATATCCTTCAGATTGCAACTGGTCTCTCATCGTTATCAGGGTACGCCCTTATATGCTGCATAATTCATTTATATCCCTAATTTTGAATTTTTGCCTATTAAATATTTTTTATTTTTAATATTTTAATGTAGATTTGTAGTTAAAAGCTCTCTTAAGTATAACTAACATTTGTATACTTAATTTATGTAATGCACTGGGGTTTAAACTTGAAATTTCACAAAGCAGATATCCTAATGTTTTTTTTTTTTTATGTAGAATTATTTATTGTATATTTTAAGAGCAAAGACTTGGAAAAGTTTAGAAGTAAGCCTCCTAAACATGGCTATGATCCTTCAGTTTTGTTCCCTCTCTTTTGGTCCAAGAAACTTCATAACCAGATAAACCAAAAGGGAACAACATGATAAGAACCGGTTGACTCGGCCGAAACCCAGTTGATCCGGGTTAGACCGATCATTCCTTTTTTTTTTTGGTAACTTTTTTTTTTGTTGATAAGAACTCTTGAATTAAATCATATTCATATTTTATGATGAATATGATTAAAAGTAAGGTGAAAATAATAAGATATTTTAGATTAGTGCAGTTCGTTTATGTAATTTAGTTGCATCTTATAATGATCTCTTGAAGTTAAGTGGTGATAAACACTGATGGTCTCATGATCTCATCTCAACGGTGGATACTTTTTTTTAGTGTATATTTCATGCATACTATTTGTTATCATGATAACGGTGACACTCTTTTCTTATTGTATATTTCATGCATACTATTTGTTATCATGATTTAATTTATCCGTATCATGTCAAGCACAAAAGATGCATTTAACTTATATTGCAATTTTAATCCAATATTAGAATATGGTCTAGAGCTCAAAGTTTAGAAGTATTTAATATTTGCTATCATTGAAAATCAATTTATTTTTTGAAGCTCACTGATAGTTTTCTTATTTGAATTTTTATTAATATAAGTAATATTTTTATACTTTTAATATGTGAACAGTAAATTCGATTGAACCCGATTGAACCCGGTTGAACCAGTGATCCAGTGACCCAGTACCTCGACCGATTCGATGACCAGTCCGAGTTTTAAAACACTGGTTGTTTGTACCACATTTAAAGCCCAAATTGCACGTATGATAAACCACTGATCACAAACTATATTTTTGTACTGTTTGGATTTTTTTTTTTTTGGTATAATGGAAAAAATAATTTTTGTTAGGTAGATATTCAACCCAGAAAATTGGCCAGTCACCCGGCCCAAAGGAGTGAAAGGACCTAGGCTTGGGTAGTAGAATTCGGCATATGTCACATTTGTATTGGACTATAACTTGACTATTTGGGCCATTTTCTCATATCCTAATCCAAGATGGACACTCACCATGTTACTTTTTGCTCTTTTGTTTTGTTTTGTTTTGTTTTGTGGACACTACATGGAATTTTCATATTTAATTTGGAGCCTTCAAAGTGGGATAGTTATGTTATTTCTTTCGTTCAAATAAAATGTTATTTAAAAAAAGGAAAAGTAATTCTACTGGAGATAAAATTATCTCCAGTGAGCTCAAAACGACGTTGTTTTGGGTTATAAGATTAAAAAATTATAATGATATAGACTAATATAACCCTGCAATATATTATAATTGCAAAAAAAACCTTAATTTTCGCCTCAAAACGACGTCGTTTTGGGCTCACCGAAGATAACTTATCTCCATTGACTGGAGAAATCCTTTACCCTTTAAAAAATTACAAATTTATGAGTCATTGGATGGTGAACTATTTATTTTATTAAGAACATTTACAAACTTTCTTTTTGGGCGGTTTCCGTTTGGGTATACTACTTTTGCTAAAATGGACAACTGTTTAAGAACCTATATTTTAAAAATTGTTACGCACTTATTTTCAAAAATTTACTCATATGTGAGGGGATACTTCAATTATCTTTTGCTATGGTATTCAAAAACTTATGGAATCCATGAGAATATTTTGTTTACATACTTTCACCAAAAACTTCAACCGAAGGCATCCATAATATTTGATAAGTATCTTAATTGAGACTTAGAACATATAAATTATATTGCAAATGAAGGGAAATGAATTGATTTTATGAATAAAATATCCCAACTTTGTGTGAATTGTCTCTTGTTGGTTAAAAATGTCAATGGGCTGATTTCTTGTGTTTTAGGCCCAATTGGTTATGATTCACTATGCAAAAAGACTAAAGGAAATTGGGACATTATTTTGCTGATCAGAAGCCCAAAAATGAGGAAAGAAAGAAGAGGCAAATCAGAATTGAAAGAAAAGAAAAGAAGACAAGAAGAGAATGGGCCAGGAAATTAAATCCATCAGCGGCCCAAAGAAGGAAAGAAAAGAAAAATTGAAAAGAAGAAAAGAAAGAGGAGCAAAAGGGACAGATCAGAATCGTAAGAGACAGATCAGAAACAAAGAAAGAAGAGAAAAAAAACCCTAGCTCTCAAACCGGCCAAGAAAACCCCTTCCCATCTAAACCTTCATCTCAACCGTTCCTTCCAGATTCCCCTCACCAAAACACCCTCTGATTTTCACTCAAGACACAGAACCTTAGACTCCATCACGGTTCATTTCTCGAATCGAACCAATCCCACACAAACCCTAACCGATTCTTGGTTCAATCCAGAAAAATCCAAAAGAGTTGATGAGCTGGAGATCGTTAGTGGCTGGAGCTGCTTTTGGAGTGTGTTGCTGAATCGTGCAAGGGACACACCCACGATCGATTGGAGCAAGGAGAGTACGTTTGGGAGAGCTGATTTTGGAGCAGCTATAAGAAAGGGACAAAGGGCAAATTTGTAGGCATCTATTCTCTCCCTACCTTTCTGCTCTTCGTTGAATTTATTTTCTGCTCTTTGAGAATATTTTTAGTTTTCTGTATTTTTTTGTAGTATTTTTATTTTGTAAATTTTATGAGCACTGTGGTCAGGACTATCGGCTGTTGATAGTTCCTGAGTTTTTATTTCCAGTACATTTTAAAGTTCCTATTTTCATTATGAACACTTGCTGTGTTTTAGCTCATCAACCTGTGGT